CTGTAATTATTTGTAAATTGATTTGGGTTTGTAAGATGTACTTTGGAATTTAGACATTTAATTTTGGATTGGGATTGAATTTGGGCTTTAATATTGAATTCCAAAATGAAATAAATATGATTACAATTCAATTAAACACCTAAAGCTTCTCGATTTTCATATTAACCCAAATGCAAGCTTCCATTCATCCTTCATCAATGTGCTCATGTCATTCGAATTAATTTCTCATCGAGCACAAATATCTTCAAATTAATTCCCAATCATATTCAAATAGATTTAAAAGGTCCGGACAAAATTAGGGTATTACAAGTAAAGTAAATAATTAATTCCTTGTTTGTTATGTTTTTTATTTGTTTTATTTTTCTATATATTTTCCGATAGATTTTCAAAACAATAAAATTCGAATCGACATTGAGAATAGTAATATCTTTTCGTTTCGATCTGAGTAATAAATGATTGCTATAAGGTACGAGAGGTCATTTATTGTCGATTGGAAATTATTAGATATTATCATTTTCATTCGAATTGCTATGTAATTTTAAGATGAAATAATAATCTCTTTATTTCAATTGGGGTAATAAATGAGCGTTTTAAGGTACAAAAGCCTATTTATTATCGATTGGAAATATTTAGATATTATCGTTTTCACCTTTAAAATTATTTTGGGTGTCGTTATTTTGAACTAATGGTGAATTTTAGAATGAAATTTTAATATTTATTTATTTCGATGGGAGTAAAAATCGATTGCTTCAAGGTATGAGAGATCAATTCTTCTCGATATGAAATAATTAAATATTATCATGTTTCATCCGAAAATTCAAAGAACATTATTTTAGGGGATCTTAAATTAAATTAAACTTGAACTTGTAAATGTTATTGCAAAGACCGTAAGTTTGTCGTTTTAATTAAAATTAATATTTTGGGGGTGCTAATCCTTCCCCACACATAACTGACTCCCGAACTCAAATTTTGGTAATGCAGACCGCAAGTTTGTCGTTTTAATTAAAATTAATATTTTATTAAAATGGAAAATATATTTTTGGGTGTCCAATCACACCCTAATCAAGGATTGGTGGCGACTCATTGAACCACGTTTTATCACTAATCGACCAACCAAAGAATTATTTTAGAAACAAGAGCCCTTTTTTCCTTCCTTGAAAAAGATCGTTTCGACATAGCTATCAAATTTTGGAGGGATCTAATCAATTTTTTTAAAAAATAAAAGGATTTAATGAGAATTTCTAAAAATTGGGCTATTTTTGATTTGTCTCATTTTGGTTACCGTTTTTGAAAAAGTTGCATTCTAGTCACTTTTTTTGGATCTGTCTTATTTTGGTTACTAAGTCGTTAACTTCCATTATTTTGATGTCATGGCGCGTTAATAAAAATATTCAAATTCTAATTTAACTTATAAGTTTTAGATAAAACATTAATTTAACCCTAAAATTTAGATAAAATATTAGTTTAATCCTAAACTATTGATAAAATATTAATTTGACTATTGAATCCAATCAAAGTTATCGCCTCCAGCTAGTGCTTATCACTGTAGATTGTCATTATTGGTCACTAATGATCGTTGGATAATAAAATTTTTAGTTCACTCATTTTTTTTAACCTTCTAAATGCGAATTTGATGTTTGTTTCACAAAAAAATTATCCCGAACTTAACAAACTTAGTCAAAAAAACCCTTCAATTTACTTTAAAAATAAATTATAATAATGAATTTATCATTATATTCTTTTAAAAATAATGATAATAATATTTTTGGTGAAGTACATAGAAATAGCTAAACTAAACTCAGGTCATCGGACCTAAGTTGTCTTCATAGAACAATGCACGGACTGCATCTGGAGGTGATTGGTATACTCTTCCTTCGAAATCATTCTTTTGGACTAATTTTGTCACGTTGTCAGCTAGCTTATTCCCTTCTCCTCGTATCTGCAATACTGATTTCACCCAATTAAAATAATGATATTAATTTAATTTATATAAATTTTGATAAATTATATAGGATAAACTATATGAATACTCTCATTTGTTTTCGGTCTGACCGAATTTAATCATTGATTTAAAAATAGCGCGCTTGATCTTTTACGTTATCTATCTGTTCGATTTTAATAACTTGAATGTTAACTTCCATTAACTCATTAACAGTGCGTGAAAGATTTTAAATAAAAAAATTCACATAAGTCTAAATTGACAAGTAAAAGATAAAATAAAAACCCACGTGAGAACCCACCTGTCCTCTTCCTTTCTTCTTCTTCTTAAAAAATGTCTATGAGAGAATTAGTTTTCAAGTTCCTAGAAGTGAACCAACGCATCTGACCAACCACATTAAACAACTATAGCATCCGGGATCAAAGCCAATGCCGTGACAGCACAGTCTTGTTTCAGCAATGTCTTTGAAAAAGAAATGCTTAGTTTTTTTTCTTGGGCCCCATTAGATTATCATATGATAATAATAAACATAATTCTTTAGTTTTGAGTTTTAAATTTTGCGGTCAAAACATTTCAGACCACAGGCGAGACAGTGGGAGAAGTAAGAGCCGTGTCAGCATCTGCAGAAACCCTCGGAAGACAACAGATGTGGAGACAGCAAACCAGGAAGAAGAAGTAACGTGGAAATTTTTCTTTTTTAAATTCCCAATTCAGACTTCCTATTAATGGGTTAATCGAAATTAACGGAAGAATGACTTAAATCAAACGGACCGATAATGTAAGAGACCAAACACACTTAATTTTTGAATCAGTGACCAAAATCAATCAAACCGAAAACAAAGGAGATATTCGTATAATTTACCCAATTATATGTTATCATTTTTATATTTTAATTTTTATGTTTTTGATAAAAATATAAACACAATTTACCAAAATCTACTTGTATGATTGGTATGATAACATGTTTTTTTCTTTAAAGGGTTCTTAATTTTCTTTTCAAACAAATAAAATAAAAAAGAGATTTGTGTTTGATCGATGTAGGTGAAATGGAGTATCTTTTTGTGATAAAGGTGGTTTTGTGAAAAGCATATACATTAAGCCCATTGTACAACATTTCTATGCGGGTATACTATTTGAAACCGTGCATCGAGTAACTTTTGAACAATTCCTTGAATCGTTCTCAGGCCTCGTGCATCATCTTATCTTTAGATTGCTTTCAGGGACTCTTGGTTGTCCACTTCCAAGAAAAGTATGAGATCGATTCAAGAATATTTAGTTGGTATTCCAATACATTACCCATCTGTCTGGAGCATTTGAAATATAACTAGTTTCAGCTCAAAGTGTGGAACATCAATCTAGGGTGTAATTATCCTTCAATTCAAGTCATCTAATATGTAGGGGTGTAACTAGGCCTAGGCCATGGGCCACCCATGTCAAAAAAAGGATAAATTATTTTTTAGTTATCCACTTATTATTTAATTTATGTTTTGGTACCCAATTATTATTTATTTTAAATCACACTACTGTTACATTTTGATTTTATTTTGGTCACTCGTCCTTAAAAAATTAGTGATGATGTTAATGTTTCATCATAAGAGAATGTCACGTCACGATTGAAAAATAATTAAAAATTGTCATGTTAACATTATTATTAATTTTTTAACGATAGATGATCAAAATAGAACCAAAACTTAAGGTTATGTATGATTTTAGAAAATAATAGTTGAGTGATCAAAACATAAATTAAGTAAAAGGTGGGTGACCAAATAATTTGTTTACCCTAATTAAAAAATATGTATGAATTATATTAAGAAAATTATATTGGTCCAATTAATATTTTTTTTCTAGATTTAATCCACATATATATAGTTGTTATTATATTTTTAAATTTTTTAAAAATATATATGAATTATTTTAGATATATTTTTTGTTATGTTTATGTTAGTCCAACCTATATAATTTTTTAGATTCGTCACTGATGTCAAACTCCCATGATTTGTTACCTTATTTGAAATAGATGTAATTATATATTTTAAGTTATTATTTATTATATTGTTATTAAAAATAATTTTATAAGTTATGTTGAAATGTTATCAAGTTTCTTTTTAAATATATTTAGAAAACCGAGATAAATCTTTTATTCGAACATTTTTTCAATATATTTTTAATAATTTGTCAAAAGAATTTACCAAAATTTTTAGAATAATAGTTCACTGGATTCGCCAATATATACAAAAATCAATGCATCATGTAAATAAACTATTATTTGTATATGAAGTAATTGATAATATTTGACACATAATCCGACTCAAAAAAATTTGGGGTCAGGAGCAAAATTTGAAAAAAAAAAAGTACTCCTATAGAAATATATTTTAATACTTTAAAATATTAATTTAATATTTTATTAATAAATTATAAAAATATAATTAAATTTTATCAAATACTTATTTTTATTGTTTTATTAAAAGCACCTTAAAAATAACTAAAACAATAAAATATAATCACTAACTTATAATATTGTCAAATATATTATTTTGTTATTTTATAAAGATAAAATATGGGACCTGAACGGAAATTCATGTTGCTTCCCTTTTAGAGTAGGGGTGCTTATCAATCAAGTCGATCACGACCTGGGTAGTGTTCGACTCGTGCTCGTTAAAAAATTTTGTTGTTCGACTTGACTCACTGCTCGTTAAATTCCTTACTCATTACTTGCCTTGTTGTTCGTTAAGCTCACTGAAATTTTACTTTAAATATATGAAGTAGTTGATAATATTTGATACATAATATAAAGACATTACTTTAAATATAAACCTTAATTTTTTTCTTTGTCTTTTTTTTTACCGGAAGGCACACACTCATGTTTATTTAGTTTTATTTTTTTTACAATAATTTTTTTCGATACTGTTATTAGAGACTAAGTTTCTATGTTCGTCTCAAATCACTAAAATCTCATAAATGAGACTGAGTATAATGACTTTACTTTAAACATAAATCATAAAAAAATATTTTATTTTTTGCCCAGAAGGCACACACTTATGTTTGTAGTATAACATCAATACTAGGCATAGTTTTGGGTACATACTAAATCCAACAAATTGTTGAAATTTTCAGTAGAGGTCCCTTTTGCTCCAACAGATCTTTGTGCAACTTGTTTGATATCCCTCAAATTTTCTCTCATTTTCTTCCCTTTTTCTTGTGCCAAAACCAGGTCCAAGCCACTCATTTTTCCATCCTTTGTCAAAACTCCACTCTCAACAATCACACCAATCTCCCACACATCCTCAACCATTCTTCCATTCACCCTATGATCCCCAAAGAACGGCCTGAAAATCATTGGCACCCCACCTGCTATGCTTTCGACTATCGAGTTCCAACCGCCATGAGTTATGAACACCTCGACAGCACCATGGGCAAGCACATCAATCTGAGGCGCCCATGGAACTATTAGGCCATTTGCCTTGTCTATGAACTCGCTCGGCAGGTGCACCTTTAGTTCATCTCTAAGAGACCATATAAATGGAACCTGGCTAGTTTCTAATGCTTCTGCTAGTGCAACGAGTTCATTTGGAGGTGGGGTTGCAACTGACCCGATGCTTATATATGTCACGGTTGCTGGTTTTTGCTTGTCGAGCCATGCCAGGCACCCATGAGAATCCGGAACAGATGGTCGTGGTGTTGTAAGGATCAAAGGTCCGACATTCAGGTATTGCTTGAACGTGGATTTGAGATCAGTTGTGATATCAGGGTCTAGTTCTTCGAAAGAGTTGATGAAGACAGCAGTTGCCTGTGGGAGAACTTGGCCCATTTTGTGCAGCATGACCGAGAAGAATGATTCCAATTTCCCAAACACAATTCCTTCAGGCAAGTCACGGATGCGTACGTTTGACAATCCAGGAATGAAGTTGAGGGTTTCATCTTCTCGACCAACGATGCCTGTTACATATGCAGATGTTGCTAAATCCACCAATATGTGAAGAAAAAATTGTGGTATTAGCTTTGAAGTCATTGAAATGGGACATCTATCTACTGAAGTTGGATATTTTTAAGTAAAGTACGGATTTAGTACCTAAGCTATCAGTTTTGGTCCGTTTTAGTACCTAAACTTTCAAAATTTTCAAAATTATACATAACGTTTAGTTTTTGTTTCATTTTAGTATCCGCCATTAAAAACTTAATGTTTTTAATACCTAAACTTTCAAAAAAAAATTCAAAACTTAACGTTAAGTTTTTAACGAGATATTAAAATAAAACAAAAACTAAAAGCGAAGTATAATTTTGAAAAAAATTAAAATTTAGGTATTAAAATGGATCAAAATTAATAGTTTAGATACTAAATGAGTAATACTGTTTTCTAATTTCGACAGCTTTTTGAAGTACAATTTTGATAAAAAATGCTTTAGGGTGAAGTGGAAAAATGATCCTCTGACTATAGGATACTACTTTTTTTAATCATCGACTATTAAAAGTTATAAAATGATCTCCTAATTATAGAGAGTTGTTTTGTTGAGTCCTTCGACTATTAAAAATTAAAAAATAATTAACCAGCTATTTTTTATATTCAACTCATTCTGCCGTTAATTTTCTAATATAAAAGAACAAGTTTGGAATATAATGAATAGTCGGATGATAATTTTGTAACTTTTAATAGTTGAGAGACTCAACAAAAATAACTTTCTATAGTCGAGAGATCATTTTGTAACTTTTAATAATCAGGAACTCAATAAAATAATATCCTACAGTCAAAGGACTATTTTTGTACTTTACCCAATGCTTGAAGTTAAATGATCTGTAGTTTACAGCAGCTAAGTAATGTTAGAAAAGAGAAAAATGAAAGGTACCTCCAACTCCATATGTTTCCCTTAACAAATCAGTATAAACATGAGAAGAGAGGGAGGCATCTCCAGCAGTATGAAAGGGTAGCCAAGGCACACCATTCTCCAACGCCATCTCTTTGGCAAACCAGAAGAAAGAATCAGTGACCAAGCAGCTCAGTTTCCTCCCACTCTCTTCCACAGCCATTTCAACTCCCTTCCGGAAGCTCTGGGGAGCACCTCTCATGAACAACTCGATTTCCTCCTGAGGCTTCCCCAAGAAAACGTAGCCTTCGGGTACTCCATCGGGAACGTTATAAGCTTTGATGTTCGGTTGGGATATGGAGAAGATAGAGTTGTTGGATTGTTGAGTGCTGAAAAAGGAAAACAAGGTGGTTGGGGATGCGGAGGCGATGCGGTTGATGATGGTGAGGAGTGGAGCTGCGTGGGTGGAGAAGGGGAATGCAAGAACAACAACATGGGGTTGCTGCGCCATTACTTGTATCCGAGAAAGTTTGTTGATGGTTGTGGATGGAAAACAGGCTTCTTAAATCCAAAAGAAATGCAACCAACAACAACGTGTGCCGTAGTGGGGGTTAGCACATGGTCGAGGGTTTAGAGTTTAGGGGTCCACTAACACCTTTAAATCTAACAATAACATGACATTAGTGGAGGTTAGCACATGGTTTAGGGTTTAGGGTTTCACTAACGCCTTGGTCTAGGGTTTAGGATTCCACCAACACCTTTAAATCTAACAATAACTTTTATTGTAGTTGGGGTTAGCACATGGTTTAGGATTTAGAGTTCCACTAGCACCTTCAAATCTAACCAACAACAATGTGTGATGTAGTGAGGGTTAACACATAGTTTAGAGTTCCACTAACACCTCTAAATCTAATCGACAACAACGTGTGGTGTAGTGGGGTTAGCACATGGTTCCTGCTGCTTGACGGTCCAGGTTTGAAACTTGAGAAAAAAAATATTTAGAGGAAGACGGCAGTTGATTAGACTCGAGGATTGGTGAGGCCGGTTGGTTGGTTTCATTGAAATACAAAATTGGCTTCGCCTTTGAATTAGCGATGCACATGCCAACCCCCGTTCATCCTTTGTTGTTGAATGGTGGTGTCAAATATAATTGGGAAATTAACACCAGACAGCAAAAAGGTACATAAAGTCTTTGTACCTTTCAGAAAAAAATATCATTGGCCCTTGAATTATTTTTATATTAAATGTAGTCCTTAAATTTAAAAAAAAAATTAAGTGGGGTCATTTGACCAACAATTTTCGTTGTTGACCGTTACGATGTTATCGTAACAGGTCACGATGTTGATGTGACAATTTACAGTGCTAATATGATAGTCCACAGTCTAAAATGGGCTAAATTGATTTTTTTTCGAGTTCAAGGCCCAAATTGTTTTTTTAAGTTTAGGGGCTTATTTGATTTATTTGAAAAAATTAAAAATATTTTTAATTTAAAATATAAAATATTTTTTAAAAAAATCAAATGTAAAAAGTACTAAAAATAAAAATTTAATTACTGAAATTTTTAAAAATATATATTAAAAAAATTTATATATTTCACAAGCTATAAAATAATAAATTATAAACTATTAAATATATATATATATATATATATATAAGCAAAGATTGAGGATTACAGGACCATAGATGCTTTAGATGAGGGGGGGGGGGGCATGAATGTGCCTATGAAGAATGAGATCTAAACCATCCGAGGAGAGCTAAAAGAGACCAACGAACCATCAGACCAAGTCACAAGTTTGGCCATGAAATCTGCTGCACTATAAGCTCACACTCCAACCATTATTAAGCAGACCCAAGATAAAACGAACCTGAGGGAAAGGACTCGCCAGAGACGGGTTGGAGGGAAGATGAAAGGCATCGCTACTATCGATTTGAACCATAACTTTCTCAAAACCAAGAAACAAAGCCAACTTGAGACCCTCACTAATACCCCACAGTTCAGCAGTGAGAGTCGATGTGAAACTAAGATCTTCGCTATAAGCAAGGCTGAAATTGCCCAAGTAGTCACAAAAGAGGCCACCAGCTGCCGCTTTACCAGAAGGTTAAGAGACGGCTCCATCAGAATTCAAACAAATATCACCTTGCATAGGAGGAAGCCATTGGACCATTGAAGCAGTTCGGATGAGAGGGGCGGGGCAGCCGCTTGAATGGAAGTATAATGACGAGCCTAAGCTAAGCTAAGTGTAGACACCTATTTTCATCCCGGATACTATATATTATGTATTATATATTATATATCATATAGTATATATGATATATTATATATCATATAGTATATATATTATGTATTAGATATTATAATAGTATATATTATATGTATTATATATTATATATATTATAAATATTTATATTATATATTATATTATATTATATATTACAGTATATATGTTATAATGTTACATTTATATTATATATATGTTATATTATATTATATTATAGTATATACATTTATATGGTATATTATATACTATATTATATATATTTTATTTATTATATTATATTATTAGTATCTATTTATTATATATTTATTAATATTGTTTTTGGTTTTATCTTTAGGTCCAAATTCGGGTCCACTCAAGTCCAAACTGGTCCAGAGTGAAACCCAACCCAGCAAGCAAGCTCAATTGGGAAGAAGGTCCATCAGGGATTTTGTGTTTAGTTTAGGCGCCACATCAACTAGAGCCGTTGGATCTGGCTCTTTGATCCAACGGTCGAAAATGCATCAGAGGAACCCAATAGTCGCCGTTCAATAGCACGTGAAGACCACGCGCTGACAAGGTCGCCACTACGCGCTAAACCAAAGCATTCCAAACCAAAAATCAAAATAATATCGGGAGTTCCCGTCATTTTTGGTCAACACGAACCTAAGTAAATTGGAAAACGGGGGAAACAACCCCCTTCATATTCGAAAACAACCACCGAAAGAGCCTCCATCGAGGGGTTATATAAACCCTGCAAAATGAAGTTTCAAGGGGCATTAAAACACCGAAAATCATCACGAAGCAACAACAAAAACATAGAGAAACAACGCAAAGCAAGCAAGTATCAAGCAACCAAAACCAAAAAAAGCATTCGAATATTCATAAAAAACACAAGGAACCAATGTTTTTTTTTCAAAGAATCATCGAAAAAGAAATAGACACCGGAGCTAGGAAGGATGATGTCGAGAAGTGGAAAAGCCTCGCTGGAAAGGTAAAAAAATCGAAAGTTCTTTCGTAGATCTACGCCTGTGGGAGAGTTTTAGAATAATCGAGGCTCGGTTTTGTGTTTGGGGTAGCGAGAGAAATGTTTTGGGGGTGTTTTGGTTTTTCGTCCACCGGAGACGGTGGCCGGAGTGGCTGTCCGGGAGGCGGGGTTCGATCGGTGAGTGACCGGCCTTTGGTCGGTTAATGAGAGTTTATAGAGTTTTATTTTTGGGGAATGAGGGTTGGATTTTGAAGAATAGTGAAAATGATTTTTTTGTGATTTTAGGGCTATTTATAGGGGGACCCATGTGCAATTATGAAATTCTTGAATTATTTCTGCAGTCCCTACAGTTTTGATGTGCAATTCATTTTGATCACCTATTGTAAATTTGCCCTTAAAATTTTAATTTATTCAATTTAATCTCTATTTTAATTTCTTATGTTGTACAAATTGACCCTCCTAACTTTATATTCTTTCTTGCAGCTCTCAAATAATATCAATTTGACCCCTAATTTTAATTTTTTTACAGTTAAATCCTTTTAATTTAATTTTTTCTATTATTACTTAATTGAATTTTGTTTTGCTTTAATATTTAACACGGATTTGATTATTTTTAGGTCAATTTTAATCGAACAAAAGTAAGTAATTCAGATCGAATCTTTAAATTTCAGTTTAACTTTTAATTTTTGCAATTAAGGCAACCAGAAAAGTAAATTGGTACCGAAAAGGCAGTACAAGGGTGCTAATTCTTCATTGACTGTAATCAACTCCTGAGTCCGATACATTTCTGGTAAAATGCAGATCAGGTAAGATGCTCAATTTAGGTGTTCGGTCAACCTAATGATCGGTGGTGACTCTAACACATTTATTTAAGTCGAATCCCAATTCCGGGCCCACCTAAAGGACGGTTACGATAGCTTGGCGACTATATTGGGGACATGTAAGTGAGTCGTGCCAAAATTAATTTCCGATTGTCTTCTTAAGCGAAAATTGTAAGTTTAAATTTTAATTTTTCTATTCGATCCTTATTATTTATCTTTGATTTTTTTTCAAATAAATAGTTGTACTGAAATTTTTTCAATGATTTTAGCTTTTCAAAATTTGTCTCAGGCTCTATACCCGAGCTCCAAACCTTTTCGTAAGTGAAGGTGAAAGTGACGCCTTCGTGGGAATTTATTCTCCATACAGGCCTAGCAAGTAACCTTCGGGATTCATATACCTTATGTCTTCGTGTGAATTTATTCTCCGTACAGACATAAGGGAATGTGTCCTATCTAGTTTAGCTTGGTCCACAAAAGCTTGTAATGGGCTTAGGACTGAGGGTCTGGCAAACCCAAGGTGGCACCAGCAAGGAGAACTCGATTACTATTTTTAGAACATAAATCGAGAGACTGCAAGAAATTAAAGCCCACCCCAAAACTCCATTTCAAAACCTATGATGCTTGAGTTATTTCCTATTTTACTTTCTATTCAAAAAGTGTGAACTATAAATATATGTTGTTAGGACTTGCTCAAAAATTAACATGCGGGATAGAAATCATGTCCGGGTAAGAATAGAAGCATCTGGGGTAGATACCATGCGTGGTAGAAAGTTTTAATTTCATTAGTATTATTATTTTTATCTTACTAACTTGTTTCCTTCTCATTTGTTGTTCTCTTTTATTTTTTCCATTTGCATCATTTAAAGAGGTGTTGATCCACAAAAAGTGTTTGTTAAACATAAATATTTTGCATTAATGGACAAAGGGGTTTAATGCAAGAGGTGAAAAACGCAGAAGTCCGACTATGGTTAGAGAAGACTCAAAAGGAAAAGGGAGACAGCCTGCAAGGTAACTATATGTCAGATCTGGTTGATTATTCTTCTTTCAACCTTAAACAGAGTGACGTTCAAGAATTGTAGAGCATTTGGGACAGCTGGAAAAACGACCAGAAATAGAGATTCTGCCAGCGGTATGGTGATATCGCGCTTCTACTATATGTCAAGATAGACGAGCCCTTGATTCGAGCCTTAGTGCAATTTTGGAATCCGAGGTATAAATGTTTTATATTTAATCAGGAAGATAGGGTTCCCACAATTGATGAGTATACTACTTTACTACATTTTGAAGGAATCAGAATGAACTGGGTCTACACCAAGTACATCAAAGGTCAACCTTTCAAGAATGGGTTGGTAAAAGTTGCAGGGGTAGATGAAAAATGGATAACTGACTGGATTCAACACAAAGGTAAAGGAGAAAGAATTGCTTGGACCCATATCAGATAATTAATAAAGAATCATCTAGAT